ACACAAACACACACACTCACACATACATACATACACACACACACACACACACACACACACACACACACACACACACACAAACACACAGGAGCTTTAATAAAAGTAGACATTCACGTGAACAACTCAGTCATCTCTAATCCACATGCAAGAAAATTTCGCAGAAATAAAATTTTAACTATGAAGACGTTTCAACTGTCTGTATGAAAAAAAAATCAATCCATATAACATTCAAAAAGTATCTCGTTAACAAAAAAATGAAACCAAAATTGACCAAAACGTAAAACTTTGCAACCTCTAAAATATCAGCCATATTGTTATATTTCAAACTGTCAGGATTATTTATGCGTGGAAGAACAAATTAATACAAAATTTATATTGTTAGTCAAACTCAATAGGGAAGGCGGTCACTAATTAATTATTAATCTCCAGGTGTGGACCGTTTCTTTCCACACAATCTCCGGTATGCAACTGGGAATTTTGAATAACCCTGTGACATGTCTCTGAGTCGATTCTTTGGACGTCCTGTTCAACAGTAAGTTAAGACTGCTCGATCATTTGTTGTCTGTTTACTTAGGCATGTCCTTATTTAAAAAAACAACAAAAAACCAGGGTGATAGTAAAAGGGGTTCAAGTTGAGGGAACGTGATAACTATTCATGTGTACATTTTCGGCCAATAGGCGTTCCCCAAACTTTTCTTGCAACCATATCGGTGCAACTCTTGGTGTGTGGATTTTGGCCCAATCGCACCTGTAAACAGGCCTGTACAGCACAGCAAACTACTTCAAGACTTTCTCAGCACGTTCAGATATCTATCTAAGGTGACTTGTGGTTTTACCTTCCTTGTCCTGAAACCAAAAAGGGTCGGTAAGGGCGATGTAGCAGGACGCTTGCAAGAAGTAAGTTTTTCCTTTTACCAAATGGGAGGACTTCCGTAACGAGCGACCACTATGAGACAGAGCAGAATTGAGCGCTTGGGTTAGGGGTAGGGTTAGGGTTAGGGGTAGGGGTAGGGGTAGGGGTAGGGGTAGGGTTAGGTCTAGGCCTCTTCTTTATTGTGTTTGATGGGGTGGTCGCTCGTTACGGAAGTCCTTGCTACCAAATTTTGGTTTAATTTTTTAAAATTTGATATTTCTCGAATATGTTGAATGATTTTTTTTTTCATATTAATTTTTGTTCGGGAGAAGTTCCGCAGAGGGCCGGCACTTACCGTGGCAAGGTCTACTGAGCAAACTATACAAGAGTTAGGGTTTGCGTTTAGGGTTCGGATTTAGGGTTAAGGTTATGGTTAGGGTATACCCGGCTCAAAATATCCACTATTTTGTGAGTTTTTGGTCAGCTGGCCCTTTGCGGAACTCCTTCCTTTTGTTCTAATATTCCATCGACATAATATCAATTAGAATTTTGAGGAGGTGGGATTGTGAAAACTATTACTTCTAGTGAAGAAATGTTTACCCCTCCTTGACCAACAGAGGTTTTAATTTTAAAGTATATTTCTTAAGATGTCGGTGTCTTTACGCCCCCTTTGACAGGCTTTAGATCATAAAAGAGGCGGGTTTCGTCCTAGTCTGTCGTGGCCTATCAGGACTGAGATGGATACTTCTTTCTTCTTAGAGTTCCACCGTAAGATTTTAGGGGTAGCCCACGGCTGGTTGTTCAACTTGCTGAGCAACTGGTTTTTAAGTGACCGTTTGACAGTTTTTCGTTCTTCGTAAGGCCACCAGGCGGCCAAATTCCTATCTCAAACTGAATATGGTTTTATACTGACTAGATTATTTTCTGTTTTAGTACATATTTTGAATTTTGCTCCGGTGGCGAAAGAAGCCAACTCTTACCGATTTTAGAACTACCAACGGATCTTTAACGTGCGCAACCTGCACACTTGGCCTCCGAGATTTTTCGCCCATTATCTGAGAAGGCTAGATGTTAGACTTGAGCTACCTTACGATCATGGGTGTGGCTGAAAGACATCAGTAAGAAGTAATCAGGAGAATACTGGAAAAAATCAAAAGTAAAAGGAAGAGAAACCTAGAGGGAGCCGAAAGTTTGGGGGTAGGCAGGGAGGGAGGAGTGAGCGGAGATGAAAGCAGGTAACAGAACAGGACTAGGAAACCGGAACGGGGAAGAAATAAGAACATTTTAGAAAACGAAGTTTTCCTTCCCTGTCAGATTTCAAATCCAAGACCTACTGAAGGAAAGGGAGGAATTCGTAACGAGCGACCACTATGAAACAGAGTTGAAAAGAGGGTTAAGGTTAGGGTTTGGGGTAGGGTTAGAATTTGGGGTAGGGGTAAGGTTTGGGGTAGGTTTGGGGTAGGTTTAGGGTTTGGGATAGGAGTAAGGGTAAGGGTTTGGGTTAGGGGTTTGGTCATGGGTAGGCTTAGATCTCTTCTATATTGTGTTTGTTGGGGTGGTCGCTCGTTACGGAAGTCCTTCTGAAGGAGAGGAGAACACCATATCTCAATACCACGAGAGCCGCCAAGGTCCCAAAAAGAAAAGCTGAGATAAAAAAAAAATATACCAACTTTCACATTCGGGAACCGAACTCAGGTCTACTGCTTGTGTCGCCAAAAACGCTTAACTCCTGCCGCACGGAAGCCCCTAAGAAAATGACATTAATTTGTTTAGTTCTTTATGCCCTGCTTCCTAATTGTATCGATAGACATTAAAAAAACAACAATTATATATTAGATACAAAAAAAAAAGAAAGAAAAGAACAAATCAAGTCAAGGTAGCCAGTATCAAGCAGCTCTGTCAGATGTTCGCTTATACGTAATTTCTCAAGCTGACAGTCCGCTTCAGTATTAATTATTTTCTTTAAAAAAAATCTAACGAAGAGAATGGAAGGACAACACGTCACAGCGTGTTTTAACATTGGTATAGACGTCTGCGTCTGCATCACAAGCAGAGTTCTCCAGGTTACATAACATGGTCAGTTACAAAGCATTTTTATTCATTTCCTCTACTCTGTCTTTAAAGTTCGAAATTTGGAGATCCTCTATTCAGAAAATATTATAGTGAAGGCTTCCTTTTCATGTGTCAGTATTGTCTGTTGGTCCCAACGTAGGACCGTTATGCCTGAAATTCATTATTCAAATCCATGATCCAAAAAATGTATATTCTTATTGCTCGCCAATGTGTCATGAAATACAGTTGGAGAGGGTAAAGAGTTGGGGGTACGCCTCAACACTGATATAATAACTCAGCTTTCATATTTTGTCTAACGAACTGTGCACGACTTTTCCATGTTTTCTTCTTTGCTTTTTCTTCTTCCGATTTTTACCTTAGACAACTAGACACTTGCGCCCCGCTCCCTGGATAATCTAAATTGTATCCATAGTGTCAAATCAACTGCATTTTAGATTTTTAAAAGGAAAGAAAGAAAGAATTCAAGTCAAGGGAGACACTAGCAAACTGCTCTGTCAGGAGTTGGCTTGTATGTCTTTCTCAGGCCGACAGTTTTCTTTTGTATTGATGATTTTCTATTACACGATTGCGTCTTAATGTTTCCATGCCGATTACTTCTAGGCTTTGTCTCATTATTTCAGTCCATACTTACGCAATGAATACCACACTTATTTTTTATGGAATTTGATTGGGGTTTTTTAGCGTGCATGTTAGCAAACATTAGATCTACAAATTCGTCTTTCGAATTTTTCCTAAACGAATTAGAAAATGTTCAATAAATTTTTTCCTGAGATAGTATTCAAGTTTGCCAAAAAAAAAATAAAAAAATTCGTGTAAATCTACACTCCAGACAACACCACCAAAAATATATTTCCCCTACCAAAAATTCAACAAACAAAATTTTTGTATTATATCTTCTCTTCATTCTGTAAAAATGACGATCTGATGAAAAAGGGGGAGTTGTTTAAAAGTATAATTAGATAAAACACGTTTTGAGAAAACGGGCGATAAAGAAAAATAAAAGACTGACTTGCTGAAGAAATGATGGTGACAAACATGCACGGTATGTGAAAAATAAGGCTTCTTTTGGAAGGGGGGGGGGGCGGGTTCTAAGGCTATGGAATAGATGGTTGTAAGAGAGGCTGAAGAAGTTAAGAATGACTACAACTCAAAATCCATAATTCTGAGCCGAATTGGGACTTTTGGGGTGTACCCCCCCCCCCCCCCACACACACACACACATACACACCCATTAAATAAAAAAAAAGAATGGCGTTCAATGAATTTGAATGCCTGAAAACTGAGATTTCTGAAACGCAGAATAACTGAATTCTCGTGATTCGATAATACCCCATTCCTCGCACGGATAAAAAATTGATAAAACAGGTATGTGTATATCTTCAATTAAACAGAAACCGTAAATCGAAGGCTCAGTAACACACGTTTCTAACAGGCTTTCGCACAAGGGTCCATGCAAAGCAGCATGATGTAAACACCCAAAGCAAATAGAACAGTAAGTTTGCAAACTCGATCCTTTATATCATAATCCAAAGAGATTTCTAGACATCCTACCACAAAGAAAGTGAACGTTGTTTGTAAGAGTTTGTTCATGACAAAGAGTTTATTTGCAACCAAAACGAGGCCATCAACCCCCCCCCCCCCAAACAACAACCTTGTAAAAAAAAAAGGTTTCCATCTTCATTCGTATATTATGATAGTTATGACGTGTATTCCACAATTGTCTTTGACAAGCATTAATTTCTTTGCCATATCAGCTCCGACGACATAAAAACCCCAGCCAACAACCCCTCCCCCATCTACAACCCTACTCCCAACCCTGTACAAAATCAAAAAATATACTCTGGACCGGACTTTACCTATTTAAAAAATCAACCACAACAAAAAGAGCAACTACCCATCAACCTTCTGCCACCACCACTTCCGGAACCACCGGCTGTGCGGCATGATGGGAAAAGGGCGAACCAGCAGATTGGCTCTGAGTGCTGAGCTATGAATGGTTTGGACGTCTCCCAAAGAAATGCAAGAAGAGCAAGCAAGATTTAGAACCTACCTGTCTTCCAGAAGCCGCCTTTGCTGCTTTGCCGCTCTCTTCCCTGGCTCCGACGTCTGCACTCTATGCCCAAAACAAACGAGGGTGAGATGCCTGAACGAAGATAGCACCGCGGGGATAGAGAGATAGGTAGCGAGGGCAAATAGGAAGTCCAGTTTCTTATTAAGTTTGTTAGGAATAAAAGAGCGAGAGGCGACCGTAACTGTTTATTAGGTGAAAATACCAGTCTGTTTCCCAGTTGCTCTTTTGATATTTTTTTTCGTTTACGACTTTCCCAGCGCGTGTTTCCGACTGTTATTTAGTTGTTCGTGATAAATGGTCGTGTTTGTGTATGTTTCCGGGTTTCCTGTACTTAAGTGCGTCGTAGTAGATCCTTCTGTGTTCGTTGGCCGAGCGAGTGAGTTACCGGAATAGGTGAGTACTGAATGTTGCTGAGTGAGCTTATGGGGTGACTGGGGGTGTTGATATCTTCCTGGTTTTGTTTTACGGATGTTTTGGGTGGTAAGGAGGGTGATATCAACCTGTATGTGTTTTGGTGTGTGTGTGTATGTGTGTGTGTGTGTGTGTGTGTGTGTGT